TGTGTGTGTGTGTGTGTGTGTGTGTGTGTGTGTAGTGTAATATATATAAGAGAGATATATATATATATATATATATATATATATATATAGTGTGTAAATATATATATATAGATATATATAAACAACCGCATCTCGCTGCTACAACGATATACACTACATCATCCATACACATGAATTCATGCTTCGAGACGTAGATGATGTGATATAACGGTACTACTAATAGATAGAAGGATGTGGGTACGATTGATGATCAGTATACGCTCCTAACTACCAAAGTCGCATCCATGCGCACGCACTAAAACGGATCTATAACAGATGCATTATAAACTGATTAATAACAGATGCACAGCAGACTAATAATCAACATATGCATTGAAAACCAATTAATAACAGATACACTGGAAGCTCATCAACTAATTAATAGCAGATGCACTGAAAACTAATTAATAACAGATGCACTAAAAACCAATTAAAAAAAGATACACTCAAAATTATCTAATAACATATACGTTTAAAACCAAAAAGTAACAAATGCACAATAACCCAACTAATACCAGAGGCACTGTAAACGAATTAATAACAGTACAAAGATATGCACATGTGTTCATAGATTTATCGAACGCACTTACATCGGGGCATTTGGCAGGCTGCAGTAAACGCTTGCCCGATTTATAGTACTCCAACATCTGAAACACATTGAGGTTTTGGTGTGGCTTTGCACACGCGTCGCCGAATACCTCCCACGCCACCACCGCAAAACTCCACACATCACTTGCAACTGAGAACTTCCTCTGTAAAGTGTGTAAACGACGTATGGCTTTAGAAACCTTTGTGTGCGTACGATGAGTTAGGTGTGGATAGGGTAGCAAGATCACGTTCGTGAGTAATTGATATTTTGGTGTGAGCAGTCGGAGAGAGTGTGTGTGAGTGCACAGGAAATTGCGCACGTTTGGATTGGTGGTACCGCCTGGCCTAGTATAATAAGTACACAATGAGCATCATATGTAACAAGCCTATCAAAAATGAGAACACAACTCGCATCACATGCAATTGACCAATCAGAAATAAGAACACAACACATCACATGCAACAGACCGATCAGAATGCGAAAAAAACTCACATCACTTGCAACACATCAATCAGAAATGAGAACACAACTCACCGCAACAGACCAATAAAAAATGAGATCACAAATTACATTAACTATAGCCTCCGCGGGCATGTAGGATATATGCAGAAAAGTACAGATAGCAAAACATGCAGCAGACCAATCAAGCTCCACATGCAACAGACCAATCAGAAATGAGAACGCTTCTCACGTCACACGCAACAAACCAATCAGAAATGAGAACACAACTCACATCACATGCAACAGACCAATCAAAAATGAGAGCACAACTCACATCACATGCCACAGATCAATCAGAAATGAGAACACAACTCACATCAACTATAGCCTCCACAGCCATCCAGTGGATGGGTAGCTTGTCGTGCGACTGCATCTTGTAATAGTTCTCAGTGTCTGATATCTCACGCGAAAGTCCAAAATCCGACACACGTACGATCGGGAATCCAAAGGTGCCCTGTGTCAAAGCGTATTTATTGCTTGGTGAGAACGTTTTGGATGCCAGGGACGCCTCCGGATGATTATCGAATACGTTTTCAACGCTTTTAAAATTCACTGATTGTATATAGTTTAGGGGTTTAACAGCCACAACAAGTACACACAGTGTTTGTAGGTTCGCATCATGCCTTCCGGAATCTCTACGCATCACCCACACATACAGGCCGTTCCCAGTAGCCTCCATGCTTTAAATCTGCACCACCCTAAAACAAACCCCTCGCTATAAACACAACCCTAGAACAAACCCTTGACTATAAAGAGACCGCAGTCACTACTTTTAAACCTGCTAACCATATATAACTTTAAACCTTCGCAACTCTAAAACAAACACCTAGCTATAAATAGACCGCAGTCACTACTTTTAAACCTGCTACCCCTAGAACAAACCACTAGCTATAAATAAACCGCACTTACTACTTTTAAATCTGCTAACCCTAGAACAAACCACTAGCTATAAATAGACCGCAGTTACTACTCTTAAACCTGCTACCCCTAGAACAAACCCCTCGCTATTAATAGACCGCAGTCACTACATTCTAGAACAAACCACTAAATATAACTTTAAAACCTTCACAACCCTAGAACAAACCCCTAGCTATAAATAGACCGCAGATACTACTTTTAAACCTGCTACTCCTAGAGCAAACCACTAGCTATAAATAGACCGCAGATACTACTTTTAAACCTGCTACTCCTAGAACAAACCACTAGCTATAAATAGACCGCAGTTACTACTTTAAACCTGCTAACCCTAGAACAAACCACTAGATATATCTTTAAACCTTCACAACCCTAGAACAAACACCTAGCTATAAATAGACTGCAGTCACTACTTTAAACCTGCTTACCCTAGAACAAAACCTTAGCTATACATAGACCGCAGTCACTACTTTTAACCCTAATAAACCCCACAACAAACACCTAGCTAAAAAAAACACACCACGCGTCACTACGGGCAGCATACCGCTCGTGGAGGGGACATCATGCAGTTTCGCGCAGCCAGGTCTCTGTGGACCACTCCATGGTTGGACAGATAGTGCATGGCTCGGGCCACCTGGTAAATGGTGTACAGCCGCTGTGCATCCGTCACATAGCACTCCCGCTCGTCCCTAGAAGAGTTAGGGTTTTAGGAAGGTTTTAGGGTTTGGGTTTAGGGGGTTGGCAGCGGGGTGGTACGTGAGGTGTCCGTGGGCTGTGTGCACTACTAAATAACATAGTAAAGCTAAGCAGAAAGCATGCGCCGCACAACTCTAAAAAAGTACATTTGTTTTGTATGTTCTCCATAGTGCATTTGTATGTACTCCATAGTACATTTGTATGTACTCCATAGTACATTTGTATGTACTCTATAGTACATTTGTATGTACTCCATAGTACATTTGTATGTACTCCATAGTACATTTGTATGTACTCCATAGTACATTTGTATGTACTCCATAGTATATTTGTAGTCGTACTTATGATGAGCACCAGTACCACACATTCCGAAACAGTCACGTTATGCCAGTAGAAAAATAATCGCAGGCAGAAGTTCTATACAAAACCATGGCATTGAACATACTTAGTTTCAAATGCCGAGCAAACTCAATCCAATTTGCGACACCTTGTATTTACGCGTGGACAGAGCTCATATGGAAAACAGGCTAGAGAGGATATAAACATTCAAGAAAGTAAAACAATAAACTGCACTGGAATATGATTTGCTACATACTGGGAATACAAAAAGGTGCAGAGAACACCCATAATCATCGGTTCCTTGACAATGATCCAACAACATATCAATTGTTCATAACCGTACCATAATAAAGAAATACTTGATTTGAACATACTGGGATCGCAAATAGGTGTAGAGATCTCCCATAGTCATCAATTCCATGACAATCGCTAGCGGAGGTCCCGTCGCAATACCCACACACGTGACAATGTTCACATGCTCTAACTTCTTCATTAGTTCCTGCGAGGGTAAACAAGGGCCTATTAGTTATTTGATGTCAATATAGTGTAGATGGCTATAGAACTACAACTTTAACTACATATAACTAAGATTAGAACTATATATATAACAATAACTATAACTA